AAAAAAAACAAAAAAAAAACAAAATGAAATCACAATAACTAGATAGGTTAGCTATATAGTGCTATATGTACAAATCACAGTTCACAGGTAGTTGGTCTGCCCACCTAAGCTCATTAAAATCCAATTCAATAAATACAAATCCCCCAAATCCAAAACACACACACACACAAATCACCAAACCCTAGAAAATCCCCCAGATCTCAAATGGCCGGAATATTCTCCTTCCTCCGGCGAATCTACCTCGCCCTCTACAATTGGATCCTCTTCCTTGGCTGGTCCCATGTCCTCTACCTCGCCGTCTCCACCCTCAGATCCTCCGGCCCGCACTCCGTCTACGCAGCTGTCGAGACCCCCCTCCTCCTCGCCCAGTCCGCTGCGCTCGTCGAGATCCTCCACAGCCTCGCCGGAATCGTCCGATCTCCGGTCACCGCCACCCTCCCGCAGGTCGCCTCCCGCCTCTACGTCACCTGGGGCATCCTCTACAGCTTCCCGGAGACCCGAACCCACTTCCTCGTCGGATCTGTCGTCGTGAGCTGGTCCATCACCGAAATCATCCGCTACTCGTTCTTCGGCCTCAAAGAGACTTTCGGCTTCGCGCCCTCGTTGCTGCTTTGGCTGAGGTACAGCACGTTTCTTCTGTTGTACCCTGCTGGGATCGCCAGCGAGGTGGGACTCATCTACAATGCGCTGCCGTACATGAGGCGTTCGGGTAAGTACAGTGTGAGGATGCCCAACAAGTGGAATTTCTCGTTCGATTATTACTATAATGCCCTTCTCGTACTCGGGTTTTACGTGCCCGGTAGCCCGCATTTGTACGGGTACATGCTCGGGCAGAGGAAGAAGGCTTTGTCTAAGGTCAAGAGCGAGTAAAAAAAAAATTATTTGAAGTTTGTTGTTGGTTCAAAACTGATTAGTGTGTACTTGAGATTTGAACTGTGAAGCAGTTGTAATGGAAAAAATTGAAACTGTTATTACAGTTGTTTGTTTTGTGTTAGTATGTTAATTTTTTGTCCAAACATTAAAGTCATTAGCAGCAAACCAAAGCACAAGCTATGGAATTTAGAGTGAATTTCATTTTAAAACCGTCTGATCAACACAAAATAAGACGGTTTTATCGGAACTCATTCATGTAATAGTTTAAGTCCAAATGAATCGTGTTTAGCAATGCCGAATTTTGTTGTAAAATGGATCGGATTGAATCATGTTTAGCCACCCACAATTGTATCATTATAACCTATCATTTCATTAAAATGGATCGGATTGAATCATGTTTAGCCACCCACAAGATGAAGTAGGAGCCTATGTACATTACTGCATAATGTCAAAATCAGTAGGTTAAGACATTTCTCCACAGCGTAAGATAAAGTAAGGTTAATGTGCATTACTGCAAAATTTCAAACTGCTGCGCTTTTAATCTGAACCTAGTAAGCATGTGGCAAAGCTCAAGTTCATAACACCTAGGCTTTGATCTAAACCTAGTACACAAGTGGCGAATTCAATTTTAACTTCTAGTCCCGAGCTTGGAACTCAAACTCAAATTCTATAATTTTAACTCCCAAATGACTCCATACCATAATGTTCTGAAACAACAATATCCCAAACTTCCGAGCTTAAAGAGTAGCTTGATATGTTCTCAATTCACATAACTCCGAGCTTAAAGAGTAGCTTGAGATGTTCATGTTATCAATTCACATAACTCCACAAGGCAAATAAGGCAATACTACTAACAGAAGTAGAGGATTCAAAGGGACAACATGTCTAATAAAAAATATAGGAAAATAATCGAAAATAATCACTTTTTGTAGACTTGTTACAATAGCTCTGCAACATACATCTACCTAACCATACTTTTACTATATTACCCTTTTGTCGACTCCCCAAACTTACGCCTATTAGGCCATACCATACCAATTAGTACTCTTCCCAAGGTCGCACGGTTTAACCATACTACTACACCTATTTCAGTGGACTTTCCCTGCAGTTAAACTGGTCTAAATTACAATTCAAAATCAAATCAAATTTCCCACCATTGCATCTAAAAACATGAATTAAAGTCAGCAATCTACACAATTATATCAAACACAACTGCATCTAATTTCTCACAGTTAAAATACAACTCAACATGCTAAAAAGCTGAAACAGTTATGAATCGAGTTGGTATAATGTCACGCAATAAAAACCGCTTCAAAGCACCACTATGAGAAATTCATACGCTGATAACTCAATCAAAATACTACCGTAGCACAACAGAAATTGGCACCTCAAGTCTAACATCTTTCGGAAAATAAAATTACGGGTCTTCAGCCAGACTTAAGAAAGAACAGAAAAAACATTTCAGGCTTTGTAATACAATAAAATGTAACACCTAGGTGTTAGTGGCCCTGGTGTAGATTTGCTGGCTCGAATGAGCCGATACCATTCTGATTAGACCTCTAGCCATCAATTCCCTAATCGCTTTCCTAGCTAAAGATCCACTGATCTGCAAATCATATATTATAGATCAAATATTAGTAAAAGATGGACAAACATCACTTTCACAATCACTGCAAAAACATATTTAAACAAAAAGGGGCAAATCGGTTTTGAGGCCGCTAGGGTTACAAATGCACAAGTCGTAAAAGGGAGAATGTAGCCAAGATGAAAACACTTTCAGAATCATATCAAGAAACATTCGGATAAAGATTAGTTAGAAACATTCTAAGTAAAATATGTGGTTAAGAAGCCACAGAACAAAAGAGCTCAAGATAAAATGTCATCAAAAAGCGATTAATGGTTACAAGATAGCAACACATAGAAAAAACATACAACAGGACCTAATCTTTTAATTAAGGAAAAATGAAGCACATGCATGGATCTCGGCTTCTTGTTCTCAAAGCTCCGAACACATTGTACATAACAAGATATTCAATAATCAGCATATAGCCACTAACTACTAAACATAATTAAGAGGCATGGAAAATGTAATATGCTCCAAATCAAAACCCTAGTTCCACTACTAAATCTAAGTTCACCTTCATCACCATATAACTACTCGTGAAATACGTAAGGAAGTACACATAACATATGCAATTACATAACATAATATGAG